ATTACATGATGTATAAAAGCATCAAGACCATTTGCCAACAGTATTTCGTTCAATATCCCTGTATGTAATATCTGCTTAAGTAACTAATTTTTATATCAGAATCCATTTGTTCTCTTTTTGTACATGAGAGGAATTATTTTCCTATGTGCTTGTGACTTTCAGTAGTAAATAAACCTTAATCAATGAGGCAAGCCTACATAAATATTCACTTCCCTATAAGTTTCAGTTCATTTTCTGTGCCACCTTGTCCATCAGCATGGTTTTCTAATATTCAACCATTCCACCTCTCTTCTCAGCTAATGCATACACATTATTTTGAAAAGATAATCTAGCAATAAGGAATTCCAGATATATTTGAAACAGTGATAATTTTATAGATAACTACAGAGCTAACATAATTTCAAAGATCCTTTAGAGTGCAGGTCATACATGGTCTGTAGATAATACAAATTTCTAGCTATAACATATAAATTTTATGCAGAGCACTGTCTGAACCAGTATAATATGCAATTTACCACACCACAGTGACATACTTGAATGAATTCTTGCATTTAGTGTTTCTGTATTATTTAAAAAAACTCCAAACCAGAAGTAAAGGAACAAAGGGGATTTGTCTTAGTAGACAACTGAAAAGGAAGTTTAGTGACAGCCCTGTAATTTGGTCACTTTGAATTTACACTCTGTAAAACACATGCAGATTCTTTTTCAAGCTGTAGATGTAACTCATCATCTATAAAGTCTTTATTTTGTAACATCACTCACAGAACTGATCCTCCAAATCCCCATTCATATTTTTCACATGACTTTTCTTGCCAAAGCTCTTGAGAGGTTTATAGTTTGTGCCCTTCACAGTTTGTTATCTTATTTTTACTGAATTAAAATATATTAACATAAATGACAGAAATAATTTATAGAGCTTAAAGGAAAACAATTCCAAAATATTTTGGCAGTATTATCATAGAATTTTTTCAAGAATATAAAGAAGCATATTATAATCATTCTCTCACAAGTTAGGAAAACAAATTAATTGCAGAGGGAAATTATAATCAGTGTTTTAATCAGTGTTATTGCTGAAGTCTAAGAACTAGCAAAAAGAAAATAATACAGTGAAGAGACTTTATAAAAGAATGAGCTTAACATTTATTAAAAAATTATCCAGTATAAGAGCAAATTTCAAAAAACAGTCCCCAAAGTCAACCTCAGAACTGTACCTATAATTTACATATAGAGATTTACAATTTAATGTCATTATAATCTACAGTCATATCAATCTGACTTATATTCTATAACTTAGGAAAATGTAATGATAAATGTTTCAGTGCTCAAATAGAATTTTTGACCTATAAAACATTTTAAACTGCAAAAATGGGATCAAATAAGATCATAACAATCAAGGGAGATACGAACCATGACAAGAGTCACCTAGTAAGGCATTGAATTTATTATAAGAAAACAAATTATAGGATTAAATAATGATCCAAATTACAATACATACTTTGATCATAATGTTTCCCCAAAATTTGTGTAAACTAACAAGATTAATGCATTTAATTTTTAATGAGAAATGAAATTTGGATTAAATATAAAAGCAAGAATTCTTGAGGAGTTTCACTGTACCATTATATCTCCCAAACAGAGTTTTCAAGCAAGTCCATTTCCACTTAAGTTCTCTTTCAATCAACCAAGAAACTCTGCGTTTATGGAATTACCTCAGAAACACCAACAATCTGTCCCATATTATTTATTTATTAGTTTTGACAAAAAGAAAAAAAAGTTAACTAAACATTACAAGTAACTCTTTCAAAGGTGCCACATAAAATAACAATTTTCACTCTGTGCATGTCATTATGCGAAGGAAATGAGGAACAAAAGAGTCTGTTAAAAAATATCTGGTTTTAACAGAATTTTCTACAAGTACAAGACAGCAATCACTTCAGAGTGTTGGCAAGAAATGGAAAATATGAACACTTTCACATAGGAGGAAAGGGAGAAGAATGTATCTAGGGTGTCTGAATGTAAGATGTCCCTGAACATCTGGCAAAAATATTTCAAACTCTTTCTTCTTCCCTTTGCAAATCACTTGCTTCGAAATTGTGAAAGTTACAATTGGCAGTGTCTAAGTCCTCTCTACTTCTACAAGAAGTATTTCTGGAAGTCCAAAGGCTGTATCAATCACTTCACTGTTCAGCCTCTGGATTTTTGTTTGTCCTGATTGCAATGTTTTAAGGTTCTTGGTTTGTGTCATGAGGATGGAGGAGAAAGCAAATTATTTGCTCAAATATATACATGTATTTTTTAGTTGTCATATTTGTTTCTTTCATAACAGATATAGAGATAGAGGTAATTTTGTGACATAATCAGATCAATATTGAACAACTGAAGTAGCATGACAAGATTTCTGCTACAAAATTGTTATCTTTAGAGGCATCTCAGACACAGAGACAGTCCTGCAGAGGTCCAAGTCAGACATGTAACTAATAAAGACTATGAAGCCAAAAGCCCTGAAGCCATTGCTTTGCTTCTATTATCAGGAATTCAGGATTTCAGACATTTACATGACTTAATTAGAACTTTTAATTTGGAAAGTACACAGGTTCAAGAGTTAGGGGAGATTTAATTTTTTTTCTAAAAAAGTCAAAACAACCACTACTAAACAAGAACTTTGCAAATCCATTCTATTTGTTATTTTTTAAATGAATCCTTTAGTTGCCTTCAATTTTGTACCACACTGACATTCTTTATAGAAACTTGAAAATCATCACTCTTCATAGACTGATGATTTTTTTTGATACTATCATTACAGTTTTTGTGACAGAAAGTCTCAGTTGAGTTGATATTATTGTTTTTACTTATGAACATCAAGAATTCACATACTAGAGTTCTGGGAGTTTTAAATAATCCTGTTTCCCTTGGAAACTAAGAGATATTCAGCAATCTATCAGCTTTGTTTCTTGTAACGAAACAATTTATTTTGTGAACACAAATCCCTACTTCCCAGACCAAAAATTCTGAATGTGACCAGCAATACTTAGACTTGTAAGGGTTTTCTTTGCTGTTAAGATACACTGGGTGCTCCTCATGACAAGTGAGCCACACATACAGCCATAGTCATGGGTGAAGTATGAGTATGATTGTCTTCAGAATCTTCTAAGATCTCAGGAAAGGATGCCACTTGCTTATAGCAGATTTTGATAGGAGTTTATTCATTTTAGGTAGTAAAGGCCTGATCCAAACCCCGATGAAGTCAATGGAAAAAGTCTCCCATTGACTACAATGGGCTCTGGATCATGCCCTAAGTCCATTCTCTTCATTAATTCAGGATTAATAATAGGATGTATTTCCAGTAGCCTGGAGTGCCTAAGATCCCAGAAATTTCAGCTGAACATGTTCACTTTAGATTGTCATTCCATTTGGAATTTGAAATATGAAGTCACGATCTTTTTCAGTGAGAAGAAAATTTTACATGGAGGCATTTTCAGTTCGTGGTTGTAGTCAATCCCACCAGTTCAGTGAAAATCTTTGGGCATCCTAATCAGAAAATAGGAAGAGCAAATGGAGTCAAAGAAATTTATTTTTTTTTAGTGCACACTTCAGAAATACAGTGTAGACTCTGGTTTGATAGATGCATGATGATGCTTTTGGAGAGATCAATGTAGAACCTGACTACAAAGAACAAATTAAAAGATTATAGCACAGTAAAATATATAAGATTTTTGCTGTACTTTTTAAAATTAACTGATAAGGAGAGACATGACATTTTTCATAATGTTTTGTAAGTTTGCACAACAAAGCACCATCAGTTCATAAATAATGAAAAGTGGCAAAAAGACATTACAAATAGCAATAATACCACTAAGTTTTCTGAGCTTGCAGATCAGAAATTGTTAATTGTGAATGTTATACAAGTGAAAACTTTGACAGACAGAGTAAGTGGATAGAATAAGAATAATGTTGTTAAATCAGATATAAAATACATCTGGATTAGGATTCGTTTTATATAAAAATAAAAATCTGAAACAAATGCAGTTTATTATATTAATGTTTAAAAATTGCATTTCTGATAAGGTAATGGATAGATCAGCCATTCCAAAAGATCTCTAGTGCTATTCACTACTCACATTTCATTAAATTGTCATTAGCATTATTTATTATTTTACCTTGATTATTCATACTGACAAGAATGGCTCAAAAGTTGAAGCATGCTTTTTAACCCAATTATTAATTGTTCTACTAAATAATATCATCCAAGTTGCCATGTACCTTATGATAAGGATATCTCTAAAGTTATATTCTACTTTAAAAATCTTTATTTTAAAATACTTTAAAAATCAATGGAAATATGCCATAATTTCAATAGTATTTACTATTAAAATATCAGCACATTTATTAACCTATAAATTCTTGCAAATATGCCACCGTCCTCCCACTAAGCTAGTGAATCACATTAAAATTTTGTGCTTTGAGTTTCACTTCTTTTTTTCAGAGGCATTTCTGCAATACTGTTTGATCACTCACATTTAGTTTTAAGCAATATAAAAGCCTGATGACAATTCTTATACTCATTAATTTTAGGGATAAAGGAAGGAGATCTTAAATCTTCACATCAAAATATGGCAGTTTTCCAGAGGAATAGGTTTATTTTGCATATAAATAAATAAATACTTGCTCAGCCAAGGACTCACCCAAAATACAAAAAAATTCCTTTTAGGATCTATGGTATGAATCATCATGGACTCATGTATTTCTCTCCAAAATACCTGAATAGTATAATTAAATGATGTCATTTTTACCTCTTTCTTTGCCTTGATGAATTTAAAAAATAGTCATCTTATTACTTTGCTGCAAAATAATAATTAATTTTTTTCAAATCCTGCCAGTTTCTGTCAAAGGAAAATTTTTTTGTATAACAAGGTAACTTTAATGATATCTGAAACTCACTTAATCATGACCAGCATCAAGGAACACCTGATTTGAGTCTAACATGTTCTCCTAACAAGTCCTTTTTCTCTTTCATCTAAAAATTGTGTCGAGATACACTACTTTGGCTTAGATATAGTATTTAGTAGCAGAGAAACTACCCCAATGGCAACTCTGTTAGACAAATCCAAGGACTGTTCTACGTTTAACTTATCTTTTTTCAATCCCTTCATTCTTGTTGAAATTCATTTTATTCAACATTGTTTTATCCAAGTCATAGTCTGAAAGAGAAAAAGAAAGCATCCCACCACCTGGATCAACTGAAAAAAGGAGAAAATTAATGAAGTTTAAATGATGTTTTCTGGAGCTAATATAGACAAAATATTTTCCCATCTATTCATTTAAATAAAATGCATTAATTTACTTTCATGTGTTTCTTTAATATGTAAGTTATCACTTTCAGATGAAAGGTATGGCTACAATCAGCAAGATCAACAGACATCGAAGCTCTTTAAGCAAGGTTTAGCAACTGCTTCCTTGACACATATATAGCTTGGCTACTAAAATTATCCTGTGCCATTGGAATATAAATAATATCTTGATCTGTGGTTCCCATTTGATTTAACTAAACAAATATTACATTCCTCTCTTACAGAGACATTGGCAAGATTTTAAGCCCTGGAAGCTGTCCATTAGGAACAGTGCATAGAAAAGACTGCATGTTGATTTTCAGACAAAAGAAAAAATATAAGTCAAGATGAAAGGCTTTACTGAAGAGGTATTCACTGCAAAAGGTTGAATTGAGAAAAATTCTTTCTTTCCCTTACTACATTTAGAGCAAGGAACATAAAGTGTGCAGGAAAACACTCAAGAACCCTCAGAGGGAAAAGTTAATGAATGACATGATAGCATCCAACATATCCTTTAAGCTAGTATTAGAGTCAACAATTAGACAAAGTTATTCAGACATCAAATAGGTTGTTTTCAGCAGTCTTTACAATATACATGAGACAGAGATTTCAGATCAGTCTGTAATATTCCTTAGAGACCTAGATAAATCAATAAACAAGTCAATAATGAATTTCAAAGACAGTTTTGTCATTAGAAAACCTTGTAAGTTGCCAATAGTTTAATTCTTACATGGAGTGGGAATTGCCCCTCATGCATCTAATACCCTACACTCTGTAGTTTAGGTTTTAAAATAAAAAATGTAGATTTAATTACACAATTAGAAATGTTTTACTGACATGGCACATCAATAGTTTGGATGGGATTTTACTTTCTCCCCTTCTATTCCCCTGCTGTTATTAAACCCAAGTAAAAATTTAAATTTTGCTTAATTTTAGATGCTCTAGAAAAGCATTCAGTTTCCATCTCACGTACACCAATATGCAGTGTGAATGCACCCAGAAAAGTGATAACTAGCATATTTTTGGCATTGCACATAAGGTCCAAATCAATACCTGTAGTGTAAAACCTTTACCTAGAGCAAAGTTAGGATTCTCAAATATTTGCCTGAATGGAGGGTAATATACCTTTGTTCTAGTGTTAGCCAGGCAGTGCTACTGGTACATACTCTGCCACCCAACAAGTTCATGGTCACCAGAACAAATCTGAAAGAAAATCAAGCCAGAGTCACACAGAATCATAGATTTTGTAAGAGACTTTCAGGATCATGTAATCTAGCCATCAGCCTTACATCACCATAATCACCCTTAAACCATATCCCTGAGTGAGAAACCTGGAGCACTTCCAGAGAGGGTGACTCCACAACCTCCCTGGACACCCTATTTCAATGGTTAATCATCATTCTCATTGATAAACATTTTTCTAACATCTAATTTGAACTCTCCCTGTACAACTTAAGGCCATTTCTTCATGTTCTTTTGATTAAAAAATGACAGAAGTCACTGACTCCCACCTCACCACAATCTCCTTTCAGCTAGTTTTAGAGACCAATGGGATCTTCCCTCAGCTTCCTCATTCCCTTTCTCTTTCCTTTCTTCTCTCCATCACTGAAACAGCTTCCTTCTTTGTATAGGAATAGACCAACATTCAAGAACATTTTAGAGGTGTTGCTTTGCCCACATCTCCTGCTTCAAGTCCTTATCTGAATCTTTACACCCTGGTATCACATTCCTTTTACCTGTATTGTTAGGGATAGCAACCAATGACACAAATTGGATCAAAAGGTCTTATCTTCAGTTGTCCCTGATGTTAGCACTGACCTGATAGATTTAAAAAGAATGAATGGATAAATATAATGAGGCTTCAGAAATTAATCCAACTATCAGAAGTAATAACCTTGTTTTCATAATGAACATTTTGTTAAATATAAAGGAGGTATATTTTTTCTGGAGAGAGTGATGAACAGGGATTCTTAATAACTAATATATTCTTTTCTTTTTTTTCTTTTTTAAATTAAAAGAGGAGAGAGAGAAAGTGTATGTTTGCTCTCATACCCCTTATTCATCATCTCATTTCCCAATTCATCCTCAAGCGAGCACATTTGGTAGCTTAAACCTCCACTGGAAGAAAAGAATATTATTCTTACTTTTTTCTCTTTTTATAAACCATCAAAACTAAAGCATATCCTGAAAAGTTTTAAAATAAAGCAGCTTCCCTTTACCTACACACAAAGGAACCCTTAATTAAAAGTTACAAAAGGACAGAAGAAAAAGCAATAACACAATATCAAAGAAAATGTGGACAAGAAGCAAACGTTCACCCTGAGATATTTAATATTTTAATTGGTTATCTGGAAGAAATAAGAAATTGCATGTTATGAGTCTGAATCTAACTTTATTAAATTCAGTGGCAAAAAGCCCAGTGAGTTCAATGGGGCCAAGATGAAGCTCTAATTGAATTAGAAACTGACTTCAGATAAAATATACTACCTTCTTCCCCTCATCTTCCCATTTTAGCAAAAAGAAATAAGAAAGATTTATTGAAATTCATCCCAGAGGCAGTCAATTGAGTTTGTTTTGAGCTGGATCAAAAGGAATAAGTATTCATGACGCGAGTATGTTTGACTATGAATTCATTTAAACAACAATACTGAACAGTGAACTTTCCAGTAGAACTGACTACCAAAGTGTTTAAAACCTGTCCTGCACTAAAACCTGAGGTGTTTAAAAGCTTGGAGACAAGCTAGATCTAGTTAAACACAGAAAATATGGAACTGTCCTCTGAAAAATAAGTGAAAATGCAAAATCAGTTGATAGGAAAAGACCCCTGTGTTTTTAATCCCCTCTGCCAGTTAGCATTTGCTGTAAGCTCAGATAAGGTGTAAGTTCACATAAGGAAGGGCCAACAAAGGAAAACTTCTCTCCCTTTTACTGTTTGCAAGATGACTTATCAGTGGTTACTGGTGAAGCAGCACCAATAATACACTAGAAAAAGAGCTCAGTTTCCCTTATCCAACACCCCTTCAGGCTCTTTTTCCTCCAAATGCTACTGGTTACTGCCACCCCTGTGACCTTGGACATCTGTCAGAGTGACTGTGCTGAGAGGAGGGGTGGCTGCTGTGTAAGGCATATGTTGTGAAGCATCTCTTCTTCTGTAGGGATTTGCTTCCAGCCCTCAGAAGGAGTACCCAAATTCTACTGGAACAGCAGAATTGAAACACGGAAAGACAGAACCAATATCAGAGACTGCCTTCAGCTGGAAGGTTTCAGATACTGTTACCTGAAGCTGTGAATTCAGCTTAATGGAAACTATTCTAAAACTAATTGCCTGTAAGCACAGCACTGTAGTTGTTCTTGCATAGTTCTCTGTTAAATTACTCATGTAAGAATTATTCCTTCTCTTTTTAAAGACAAACATTCATTAGATTAATAGGGAAAGTGAAAGGAGTAAAGAGGAGTCCCATTCCTTGGCCCACTGGTTAGATGCCATTTTCTTTCATGTGGCAGGCTAAGCTTGAAACTTTCCAGATCAGAGTTTCATGAAAATGAATGCAGATGAACAACCACCTGCTAATAAATTAGAAGAATGTCAGACAGCCTTAATCTGCCTCTCATGTTTTCGGGTTTTGTTTGTTTGGTTGGTTTTTTCTTGTTTTTTGTGGGTTTTTTTTGTTTGGTTGGGTTTTTTTGATGACAGGAAAAGACACCCTTTTACAGCAGTGGGACTTTATTTACAGTACTTTTGTTTCTGATGGGCTGAAGAGTTTAAAAACTTTTAAAGTTTTTCAGATGAGGCTGTTTCCTTCTCAACTCTCCCAGCAGTGGCACAGGCTTGAGTCTGTTGTGCTTAAGCCAGAAAAGGTTAAACTTTACAAGTTTTCAACCAAGATTCAGCTTTAAGACATTAAATACCTTTGACTAATATTCATGAAGAGAGATTTAAAGACACAGAAACCAATAGCAAAATGCAAATAAATTTAGGATGGAGTTTCCTTAGTCATGAGCTGGTTGAACAGATATTTCCTAAACATCGTGACATTTCAGCTGTATCTTTTTTTCCCCCAGAATAGAGCAGCTTCAGAAAGTAAACTGATAAGTCTTTAAATAAATTGAAAGACATTATGTAATGCCAAGTATAAAATATTCTGGAAACAGTTTAAAGCCTTCCTTTGTATTTCTCTGTCCAGCTTTGTGTAATATCAGTCCAAATACTTGAGGCATTAGCATGGGCACATTTGCAGTTTTCAGCAAGTTGATGACTGCTTATTGCTCTCTGGGGATATACAAGCTCCTGTAATAGAGTATCCATGTACCTGGGAGAGATGCATTCTAAGTGATGCCACATCAGAATATTGATAGCATATGTCAGCACAAGCACCACATTTTAGCAAATTAGTCAGTATTAAACTCCACAATATGCATGACTTGGAGTGGGGAGAGATTAATGACTTTTGTTCAAACTTGAGCTTTCTGCAGATTTTTTAATCTAGAATGAATTTCCTGCTGAAACCAACAAAGGTAAAATGATATTCTCATTTCATGTTTATTGGATTTATGAATTTTATGAAACTTCAATAACAATCTTGGAGAAGGCTTGCATAAGCATCATCCTTGCGTGTTATGATTGAAAGGCTATATCAGCACTGAATTCTCCCCAAACAATACATTACCCAAGCAGTAGATGCAGAGATAAGCATTACTATTATTATGAAAGAAAAAAAATCTGCTTTATGCCTTTGCTCTCCCTTTCTCCTTCACAATGTTTGCTATTATTGTAGAAATCAGCATATGAAAAAGAACAAAGGAAAGCTTTTTAGAGGTGATCTGTACTGCCTTGTCTCTAAAATGTTCTTTCCTAGGGTTCTGTGGATTGCATCCTTCAATGTGACATTATAAAACATCATTGTATTTTTCCCATTTTTCAAGCAATGCTCTATGATTACAGTACTGACTTGATGTCATAGCTATGTATATTTTTTTCTAGGCTCAAGAGGCATTCCATATTCTAGTTCCTGTGATCTGTATATGATCTATATATGATCTACAAAATAAGTGAAGTAGTGGAAATTGTTGAAACTGTGTTTCTAACACCTTTAAACAGCTTTTAGGAATGTAGAGTCCTTAAATATCAGAAATAGATTAAGACAAATTAATTAAGTGTTAGCAGACAATGCCTGATCCAGGTCTAAAAACAATTTCCATAAACTCATTAGAGAATTTGCAAATTATTCCAAAGGAACAGAAGGGGCTCTGCTCCATATTATGCTGTACATTAACTTTAGGCACTAGTCTACTATTATTTATTTACTTACCACTGCTGGGGTTTTGCTTTCTTTTTTTTCCTTATCATTCTCCTTTGATTTCCACTTTCTCCTCAATAAGTTTTGAAATTGAAGACAAGGACTGTTTTCACATAGCAAAAATACAACCCATGAATTGAAATGTTGGGGTTTTTTCCCACCTAGCAGTAGAAGGCACCACGTGGCTCTAGTACTCAGATTGTTCTTCTCATTGAGAAAATGGATTAATAATCTGCTGATGAAAAGTTTTTCTTCTTTCTTCTGACACGGCTGGTATTCAGCACTGACAAAAGTCAGCTTCAAACTGGATAGCAGATCCTGAGAGGCTGGAGAGCTTTGAAATGTTAATAAATGTCAAGGGGTGAGGTAAGATAACAAAATTTAAATCTTCAGAACTTCATTCTCAAATTAAATGTCTGAGCCATGGCATAAAATAAGAAACATTTGATAGGTGTTTATCAGCAAAGAGGTTTCAAGAATGCTAAAGAAAATCCAGACAGAGTGATAGAACATATTTTAAATTAAATTAGCTACCCTCTAACTTCTACTTTAATTTGGTAAAATGTAAAGACAAATAAAAGGCAATACAGCTACATAGTTAAAGGTTAATTGAAGCAATTTTTTCATCACCCACTAACTTCTGCTATTACTGTCATATCTGGAGGTGGGTTTTGTAGTCCTAACAAAAACAAGAGGTCTGTCACAAAAAGCCTTCTGAATTATCAGCTCATTTAGTGACACCAGCAGCAGAGGGTGCTGAGTTTCAGAGGCTGGATGACAAGATTCTGATTCAGGAGCTCTGAGAGAGAAATTTCCTATTTAATTAATTTCCAGTTTAATTAATTGGCTATTATGCCCTCGGTATGTCATAGCTTTAAATCATATGCCTTATAGTAAGGAAACCAGAGGGACTAAAATTTTGCAGTATTTCAAGGTGTATTTACTAGGTTCAGAATCACACACCATACTTCTGAGTACTTTCACTACCATGATCTACTTCTGTTCCTTCTTAAATATTGCATCTTATACCTCCCATTTAAATGGATTGTTCATTACTATGCAGAGATTGTATAGAAAACAGCTTCTTGAAAATATGTTTGATTAATACTGAGACACAAGAAGCACTCGTTTTCTCAAAGCATTGAAAAAGTTTCTAAATGTTCTCTTACTTTTTACTCCATAAATTCCAAACAGATGTGTGTTTAAAACTTGATGCTGTATAAAGCTTATATCCTTCTTGAGATTTCCATAAAAATTTATGCCTGTTGAGATTTCTCTTTTGATCAAATCCAATTGAATAATAAAATCTTAGAACTCTAAAGCTGTCCAGAACTTCTAGAGTAATCTCCTATTTTAATTTTTATGCATCTGCAATCTAATAATTTTTAGCAGCACATTGTGATCCAGATAAACTCTAATGACATTTGATAGACTTTTTATAAATCTGTATGCTATATGCCAGCACAGGAAATATTTTTTCTTTTTGAGTCCCTGTAAACTCCTGAATTGCAAAAGAGATGCTACTCTGATAGTCACATAAAGGCTACAAAGTTTGTATCACAAAAGGGAGGAGTAAAACTAAGAATTCTAGCTGAATGAAAGGGAAAAAAAAATCCCAGATCTGAAAATTGTAGCATATTTAATAATAATGTCATAAAATCCTTGCTGCCTTCTGCTATGAACTCTAAGTTTTCTATGTTAACATCACTCTCTTCTTCAATCATCAAAGAAATGGTGATATTAACACATGGAGATGTCATGTTGACATTTTCAAAATGTAGGATTTAAATTATTTCTAGTGAAACAATATTTGCCTAGATTAGTGTAGACTTTTTACCAATATACTAAAAGCTAACAAGATACTTTATATCACTGAAGTTATTCTCAAATGACAGTAAAGGTCTCTGGGCCTGGATCTTGGCCATGAAACTTAGATAACAGTTCAAGAAATTCTTCCTGCAGGCAGAGCTGTAATGTAGTGTTTCATTACTAAAGTGGTGCCAGATATGCTCAGAATATCAAACAAAATCACCCCATGGGTGTTTTCTGCACCAAAACTAGTCAGTAGAATGTGGGAGTGAAAATGTTGGAAAGAAGTTAAAAATGTCTTCCATTTGGCAAGGAAAACTCAAAATGCAGAGGCTTGTCTCTGAAAAAAAAGAAAAGCAGTAATTCTTTCTGACCAGCAAAATCAGTTGTGCTTAAAGTAAAGGATGTCAGCACCTTACAGATTTTTAAATGTTAGATTTTAATTTTTAAATTGTATAAAAATATAAAATCACTCATATTCCTGAGCTGAACTTTATCTTATGATAATATGAAATTTATTTAAAAAATGAAGTCTAGGATTGAGCTTGTGTAATAACCAAGGGTTCAAATGTAACTTCTGAAAATATTATTGTTGTTTTGATCATTGGGAAAATATGCTTTCTTTAGAATTCTAGTGTTCTCTTTCATTGTTTTACTTCTCTTTTCAAATTTACATGGATCACCTAAGTATAGAGCATTGAATTTTCTTTAAATTTCTGATTTTTAAAACAAAGGGAAAGAGTAGACAACTTGTGTTGAAAACTCCTCTAGCACTGACAAATGAGAATGAAACTCTCCTTCACCAGTACAAATAATATTTTTGGCTTCATTAAAGATGGAAATCACTTACAACAAACTGATTTTTCTTCACTAAAACTTTCACTGAACTCAGAAAAAAAGCAGGACCTAGAAGGAGGATGTGACTAAAGCATGAATCAGACACTGCAGTTTTACAAGTAAAATCTCAGATGAAAGTTGTTTTCATTTAGTGATGCAGTTGATCCAACTGAATGGTTCATTTAACCAGATACATTTATCTAGCATCTCTGCAAAAAAAAGCACTTTTTTTCACAATAGCTGCAGCAAGCACCACAGGTATTTTCACATCCAACTAAACTAAAGTGATTTCTTTCTTTTAAAGCCACCATTTTTTAAAGTTGTTAAATCTGTCTATTATGTACCTTTCTGGAGGACTGACTGAAGAATGAAAACTTAAAAGATCTAAATAACTAGATGTTACAAAGGCTGCATGTAGCAGCACAAGACTACCCTCATATGCTCAGTATGTCATTGTCTGCCTACATTTATGCAAGAAGTTTTTAAATCCTTCCAGAGGTCTGAATAGAATTGGTACTCACAGTTGTAGCATCCTTCTCCTTGGGACGAGGAAGGTTTCAACTACAGTTTCCTTTAACTAAGAATGGAGATGAAATGCTGCTGCAGAGTGTTGGTCAGGACTGTTACTTTAGTAAAGAAATCTAAGCAGTCTTGTTCTTTCCATTTTTCATCATGGGCTTCTTAATTTGTCTCTCTTCTCCCAGCTAGGATTCATTGCTTGAAGGAGACAGCAGCTTCCCTTTTTTTCCCATATTGATCTTGTTTGGAGATTGTGGATCAGCACAATTCCTTTTCTTGGGAAAGAAAATGGATGGAAGCAGCAACTCCTGCTTCTTCTGGTAGGTGATGTTCTTACCTTGCTGTTCTTACCTTACCTCTGCCACACTATTGGCAGGTGTTTGCCAGGCTGTGCACTATTTTAATAATTATGTGAAGGAGGATAGGACAAGAATTTATGTTGTATGGAGATACATACTAATATAAATGCAGCACAGAAGAAAACTTAGAGGTGCTGGACATGGTTTGACAATGGTGTAAACTGGGAGAATTAGAATGGTGGATGAACACTGAGGTATGGATATCACAGGAGTGTTCATGCCAACACATGGAGGTAGACAGCCCAGACAACACTGATGCACAGTCATTAAAACTCAGACCCAGTATGCCCAGTATTCCCTAATGAGCCCATCCTCCTGTCCATTCCAGTGCACCTCCACAGCTTTTCTTGTTTTACATACATTGAGAATGATTAGGATATGCTGAGATCTCAGGTTTTCATTTTGCCATTTATAGGCAAGGTATGATTAAGACATCTCTAAAATGACAGATGGGAAAGAGGTGGTGGATTCAAGGGTAACACAAAGGCAGGGAGCTGGTAGGAATTCAGTATTTTCAGTGAATTTTGAGGTAAGACAGGAACAGAGCAATACTCAAACTAAACTCACTGTGGACAGAAATGAAAGGCAGCAAGTGATAAAGATGTAAAGTGATCATCAAAGAGTAAAGAGAGATGATCCTAAGGTAATGGTGATGAGCAGTGGAGATGTGAATGTAAGACTTCACATCAAGTGCTGAGCCACAAATAAGGAAATATTTTCAGATCAGATATAGACTTCTATCTTCAAAACAGTTTTGAATGGTGCAGCTTTTGTCCTTTGTATATGCCTTAGTACTTCAGCTCTGCTCCCTCATCTGAAATATCTTTGTAGTATCAGGGAGATTCACACATAAAGTAAAAGACACACACACAAAAAAATTTGTTTGTAGGACATTGTTCTGTGAAGTATCCTGTCTTTCAAGGTTGGACATGAACAGAATGCTTTTATTTGGTGGTTAAAGAAATTATCAGTCATAAAAATGTTTGCAAATATGGGAATAGGTATTAGCAAAAGTCCTTTATAATCTTCTTCTAATTATACTACCTTTCTGTGTTTCTTTTCTTTGTCTAATTTTTTTGAGGGGTGTGGGAGGGTGTGGGGGCTAACAATTTCTCTTTAACAAGAAACCTTCCTACTTTCTCTTATTGCCTCTCGCAGGCTACATTGTTTATAGGTTCAAGAAAATGTCTCCAGCATAAAAATTGAAGGATAAGATGGTAACATTTATCAGAGACTTTTTTTCCCCAACCTGTTTTTAGAATTGTGAAGATAGAAAAAGTTTAAATGAGGATGATTTACAATATTAACTTTCTGAGTTTTTTAAATGATGCTGCAGAGAGTCCTTGGTAAATTGCAAAGGCCATATTTCCCAGAGCAGAGAAAAAAGGTTGGGTGTGGCTGTTCAACTATCATGCAAAAATAAAAGTATATCCATCACACTACATTTATGGAGGGAAAAAAATAAAAAGACCACAAAACTATAAATAATATTTCAATGTACTATGATAAGAAAACCTCATTTTTAAAATGTATGTAAGAAACAACCATACTGTCAACATAGTTGTAAATCACCCTCATTACACCAAACAAAAAAATTATCTAGTAAATATAATTCTTAGTTTTAGTTTATGGCAAACATGAGGTAAAATGCATGAAGCTAGGACTAGCAGTTCAGCTAATCAGTAATTTACTGTTTTATACAATATTAACACATACAGATGCCTAAATTTAACCCAAACTTCCTTTCCATAAAATTTAAAGCTTGTTTGAACTTCCTTCTGGTTTTAAACATGTGGATTCATAGTAATTAAAAATACTGATAGAAAAAGAAAACTGCTTTCTTATACTTTGAGTTTCATAGATCACATTAAGATATCCTACTATTGTGTGATAAGAAGCAAATATTATCTTTATTGTTTGTGGTATAGTGGACTTGGCTATTATTCACACTGACTATACAAAGAATTCAATTACTTGAAATTAAATATTTTAATTATAGTATTTTATCTGTGTTTGAATTATTTTTAAAAAATATTTTAATAGATACAATTTGACCTTGTTACTCCACTATACCTGTATTTTGTAATTACAATGTTTTTTGTTTAAGGGTATACCTAGATATTAGACACTATGTTTCTAAAGGAGTTTCCAGGATCAAGCATTTACATTCTCACTTTGCTTGACTTGTTCAGTTTACACAGCATTTTATGTTTCTCCCTCCTTTCTCTGTGACACAATTAGAGATTTTTAAAAGAAAACAAGGATGTGCATGCAGTATAATTATTAATATCCATGTCTTCTCCGGTTCAGTTCTTTCAGTTAGCACTTCATTGGAAAAATCTTAAAATTAGATTTGTTATGTACTTTCTAGGAGGGACTGGTCAAACTCCATGTTACAGTGGGATTTAGGCACTTAGTTATAATTATACAGTGACTTTAATAAACAAGTTCAGCATTTTTCTGTGTGAACAATATAATTCATTCAAAGCTAAATTTAAATTTAGATTTTTCCTTATTTTATCCACTATATCCAATACTAAATATCTATAAATATACATACAAGTGTCTGCATGTATATACATTTCATTTAGCAAATCTTGAATTCTTCCTTCATTTTATAATGGATGCATGGGTGCATCCATTTTAAGCATGGATGTGGCAAATATCTTAACATCTACTTAAAAAAAGGATGATGAGCTAGGACTTGGAAAGGTTAAGGAAAAAAAAGTCATAAATCACATGAACTTGTGAAGAGCTCCTGATCTGGAAATGAACTTTTAGTGCATACTGCAAACCCATGTAACTGAGGGGTGACTCAATGACTCTCAATGACTGCAGAAGATAAGAGGACTGCTTTTGCAGCTAATATGTGAGACAAACAAATTATTCAAGCTAAAAAAAATAGTTGCACAATACATTGTAAATATAAAAGTAGTCAAGTACCTGTAACCCTTCTTCTCAAGTCACTATTATGTCACAGTTGTAGAAATCAGATTTTCTGTATTTTTAATTATGCAAATTATATATTATATATTTAAATAGCTCATATAGATCACCTTATATTTTTATGTCAGTCTTTTAGTTTTTCTTTTTTCTCATGTTCGTATAGTTTAGGAACATAGATGGAATTATTTACACTTTTTCTAATAAATCTAGCAACATTTTTCTGCAGAAAAACCTAACTACCATGAATGACACAAGATGATTCAGAAGGAGCTGAGATTTGTTTTGGGAGAGAACTTGAAAGATACACTTCAAATAGATAATGAAACTGTGATTTTATGCATGGTTATTGAGTTCTTAAATGAGGAGGCTTTCAACTTTACATAATAGTGGCTCTTCAACCTATAGTAATTCCTTGAAAATTTAACCTCTCAAAATTTGATTTTGGTATTGGTTATTAATACTTACAGCTTGAATTACAAACATATTTTTACCTTGCATAAGGAAAAGGTCTATGTCTGTATTTCTAAAGTTGGAACCATAAGATTTGTATAGCAAATAAAAATCTGCTACTCTCCTGGACAGAAGTAAACTTCCTAACTATTGCCATGGAAATAAATTAGTTAAGAATACAGAATGGAATACACAGATTATCACAAACCTTTTAATTGAAATTAGGGGACCAACCCATTATTAATTAATTTAAATCTTAAAAAATTAAGATCTGTTGGGTAATTGAGGGATGAGAGGCAGTTGATTCTCTGCTATATCTGTGTTTCAAATTCCTAGAAACTACATTTTGAGCTTAATCTCCTGAATTACACAAAATTGGTAAATTAGGTAAAAGAAAACATTGCATTAAACTCAAGGTACGAAATTATTATACATTGTTTTATGTATTTTTATATAAAAGTTACAAGTAGCAAGCATATGACACAGAAATGGAACAGTAACAGCAATAACTGTGAATGCATGCTTTTTACAATGTATCTAATAAAGGGATTTTTGCCAACTCAAATATTCAGTAACATTCATGCAGATTAATTTCTCAATGTCAAATTCAGTCATATTGCTAGATGCTTATCCAACAAACGTTTCTATTGAAGTGATTATGAATGGCTAAATACCTGATTTCAATAAATTGTTCCTGAAATTGGGAATTTTACTTGCAACAAAAAGAAGAGAGAAAAACAAAAAGAGAAATGACTGATAAGCATAATAACCAAAGTCTTATTGCCTTCTAGTAATTTTACTCAACACTGCTGAATTATTTCATGATAAGAGAATAGCTGGTCAGAGTCCATAAAACCTCTAGCTGGTGTTTCCAAGGACGATAGTTTCATATTTCATTGTAGCATGTTCAAAATCACCCAGGAGCGCACTATTCTCAAGCAGTCTATATAATGAAAACAACGTACATATAACAAAAGTTCAATGTAAATCTTCTTCTATATATCACACAACATACAAGTAAATAACAGACATAAAACAGGTCAGCTTAAAGAAAACTATGACTTAAAAAAATTAAAATAAATAAAAGGACAGTCTCAGGAACTAATTTCTTCCTCAAGTTTTCAACAAATTTCCAAACACTAAGAAGGACTTTGTGGCCAGATTACAAAAGAAATATATTTTTGTGCAATGGGAATATCTTGACAAGGAAGTAAGATATGTCTATATTCCTTAGGTTTGCATAAAGGCAATTAAATTAAGTTGGATAATTGTCTACTCTCTTTCAGAGAGTTGAGATCGTTCATTATAGATTTTTCCATCCAGAGTTTGCATGTCTGCATGAATAGTTGTCTGAAATTAAAACTAAGTTAAAATATGTTCTTTCTGAGGAAAAAAAANTGCATGAATAGTTGTCTGAAAAAAAAAAAAAAAAAAAAAATATTCTTTTTGAGAAAAAAAAAAAAAAAAAAAAGCAGAAAAATATTTACTTAAACTATCTCCAGGCAATAATACCATTAATGGATTATTTAACTATAAAATTGCTTTATACATATATACACATAAAAACATATATACACATATCTATGCTTATATATACACATATATAAAACTGATAGACTAGCAGCTATCTATAAATCCAATACAAATATCTGAGATTATGTTTATTAATTGCTGATAAAAATTATGCAAAATGAAAAGTCTCGGTTAATACTCCAAAAAGTAAGTTTAATTTGAAAACATTAATCCTAGTGCTACAGAATACTAAATTTATCAATACTAACACACACTCTTTCCCCAAAAATTCACAAGATTGGATGAAAAAAATTAACTGAAAACACATAGTTCCACATCTTACTGATTTGAATTAAATTGCCAAGTTTTACATTCTATTTCACATGCTGAGGCTCTAACTTTTATTTCTGTAAATATTAATAAATAAATAAATAAATGAAATGCAAGAGCCATGCAAAGCACATGACTTCATAATGCAGTTGGAATGAAGATAGTTTTTGCTATGGGCTGACTGTAATTCTGTCAAGAATAAGAAATTGACAGATTTTGCTTAGTTTGCAATGCTAAAGTGATCATCTGGCTTTCAGTTTTTTAACATTCAAACCCGTTTCCATACAAGATGACATACAATTTGAGACCTAATACTCTTTTTAGCAATATAACAAATAAAATGGAAAGCAACAGATGGTTCAATTGCTGTATAGGTATGTTTACTTACCTCAGGTTTTTCTCTTAGACCCTAGTTGTGTTGTACTCAGACTCATGTTTGCTTAGAGACCCAATGAGGCAGAACCTGGAATGTTATGGCTATTTCATTCAAAATAATAGAAAATTTCTTTTTCATAGAAAGAAGAAATATATGCATATAGATACTTTATAAACAGTACACTTTGATAATCTGATTGATATTCATGAAGTAATTTACATAGACATGCAATTGGATTAAAATGACAAAATAACTTTTTTTTTTTAAGAGAAAGAAATGCCTTAATGTGCAAAGAAAATATGGAGGTCATGTAAGCAATAACAAGAAATGCATAAATAATGCATGCAAGAGAAAGCACAAATATATTAAAAAAGGGTTATGTGTTCTTTTTCAAATAAATTGTTCATAAATTTTTTGGTTTTCTTTTTCTTTTACTTGTAAACTTTTGATCATATTTACAGTGATTCAAAGTGCAATATACAGAAGAAATAGCTCTTTTATTAAAAATATTATGCTTGATTTTTTTTAATTGATAAGAAATATTAGCTTTGAATTCATTTTAATATATAAATATATATGTGTTCATTATGTTGTCATATTTGACAAATCAAAACACTGTGATGAATAATGGAAGAGATATAGTAAAGTTTTGGGAATAGTACCATGCATTATATAAAAGGTAATGTTCCATGAGGAAAGTGGTTTCCTAACCCCAGGACTCTGTTCCTCATTTTTGTGTCATGCATCAAAATGGATATATGTATCTTTTATTTATTGATGAATTTGTTTAGAGATGGTTAGACCAATAGTGGATGATATTCAAGGCCACCTCTGTTACAGTGAAACCACATGTATGCAGCTATTGCAAAAATCTAAATTCACACAATCTTCTTTGGTTTTTAAAAATTGCACCTGTTCCCTGTTGACCTATGTGTGTATGCATGTAGGTATATGTAAAGCAGTAAAAGAAAAAGAAAAAAAGAAATTAGAAAAGTAAAACAGAAATACAAGATCCCTCAGGAAAGAAGAGCAGAAACGAGAGAGACAGAAAAAGAGATAATGTAATGGCATGTGCTATCGGGAAACAGAAATTTAAAGAATAAATAAAGAAGAAATAAAATATGTCTTTACTGAACAAAGAGTGAATATGTTTGGGCAATCAAGTCTTTACACAATAGTCTTCATCAAAAATCTATTGATACTGACCGCTGAACAGCTTTATCATGTCTGGACAGCCTGTGACTTGTGGTTGGCACCTCTTCAATTTCATCTATCTCGCACGCATCAGCAGCATCTTGTGAGTAGCTATGCTTCATGACAAGGATATTTCTCCTGTTCATGGGCTGAACAAGTGGTTTTACAGGCTGGGGTTGTATTTCTGTCAAGACAGAAGCATCTCTTGTGCTGAGGTTACTACGGCTGCCCTTAATACTAGACACTTGTGATCCACAGTGATGGTCATGAATGCATTTTGAAGAGGATCTCCGCAGTTTATGATAATTTTCAAAGTCATCTGCAACGTCAGCAAGGTCAGCTGTAGTCCCTGTCCCTCTAAGGGTGCATAATTCATAATGAGGAGGCTCAAACACCTCCTGGAATACTGTTTGATCAAAGTCTGTTTTCCTTTGGACAAATTTTTTACGAGGCTGCTTGATCTGTACTATAATAGAGATAACAATGAGGATGATCACAATGCAAGAAGTCACCCCAATTATAGTCCCACTGGTATTGGTAAGTTGGTCCAATAGGTTTGCTTTTCTTTTTTCTGTGTGATAGGGAATAAAAAAAACAACAAACAAACAAACAAGCACAGCATTAATTGCAGTTCGAAAATAAAAATAGCTATGATGGGTTCACAGATTACTACAAGGCTGAGCCTAGTCTACTTCTAAGTTCACGTAATCAATCTCACCAACAAAAAGAAAAGAGGAAGATATCAGATATTTGTGAAAGACAAAGAAGCAACACACAAATAATTTGTGTGCCTATTCATTTGGAAATTTATTTATTCAGGGTATATTGCAAGTTTAATTAAAAAAAATAATTATTTTAATTTTTTATAAAAAACAATGACCATAACAAACAGATGGCTTCAGTGTCACCTCTGAACTTCATTTGGCTGCTAAAGCCCCTAAGACTTTTACAGATGTTCTCTTCATTATTTTCTCTCTCCCAGTAAATTTATGCAGCTAGGACATTAGGTCCTATGAAAGAACAAGATTTTACAGGATTTAAGATCTAGTATTTGTTAGCTGAGTGGGAATTTCAACAGCATTCAATGAAAAAGCTAAATCAGGAGAAAATAGAAAAGTTATTAACATTTAGATTTCAGAAAGGAAAAAACCATAAATTTGTGCAACATATTTCTGCTTTTTTTCCCCCCTATTAATTACCAAAACCTTTCTAAACAGACATAAAAATCCAAAAGCTGATCATACCTACTACTCTTTACTCAGGAGCCTCTAATAAATTAGTCAGCAAATTCTGTGTAGTGAATAAAGCAGAAAAATGCAATAAAATAATAAAATAAAAACAGTTTCTCCCACATCTTGTGCATCTTTGTCTGTGGTTTTCACAAGGCTGCAGGCACAATATGGTAACTGAGCCTTGTAGAAATTCAAGTTGAAAGTGTTTGCATCAGTCTCTCTCAGGCATAGCAAGACACCTGTGGTTCAGTTTCAACACCCAGTTTAGTGTAATTTTCCCTGGCTACCTAAAACATATAGAAGGAATTAAGAAAAAGCCTTTGAAATTGAAGTTATTGGCACCAAAATGGTAACATTCATCTCTTCAAAATATCCTAGTTACCAAAACTTAACTCTTCAGTAGATCATTGTCTAAGCTTGTAGATTCACTCTATTTCTCTATTTGACTGACACAGACTCTGGAGAAAAAGCAGAGTTAGAAAAAGAAACACTGCAGAAAACATTTTTGCTGGAATCAGCAAACCTCCTTTTTGCAGTCAGAAAAACACGGGAGGATAAATGCACAAAACCTGGTAAAAGATACTTGACAGAGGAAAGATGAAAATCATTCTCGAAATTCAAGAGTGATTAAGGTTTTCTGTTTTCCTCTGTTGTGAAGAACAAGAGAATGAATAATCATTTCCCAATTGTCTGTTTAGTTTCCCTGAAGAATATTATGCTATGCCACAGTTTGGCTCTCTTCTTTTGAAGTATATGATTTCATTTTTGTTTTACCATATTGCACTGCTTGTCAGGATTTTACAGGCTTCAGTAGACTAATGGGCTGACTGCTAATCCACTTCATTCTGAATTTTTTTCTTGATTGGTTCCTAAATTTGACATATCCCATGCTTTTAGGAACAAATCTGCAGTAAGGGGGAGACGGGGGTATAAGACAGAAGTGAACTGTCTCCCTAGCCTGCAATGTAAGTTTGTCAAGCTCTTTTCCCTGAAGACTACACAGATACTGTTTTGGGGCTTGTTTGGTTGGTTTTTGTAACAGAGCCACAGAAATATTTAGAAAACATTGTCAGTACATGGGTAGGATACATCACTACCTACCTATGAAATAAATACTACCTCTGATTTCCAGATGTAACATTTATAAGCTTGTTCCTTGCACTTCAATTTCACTTGATTATAGGTAGATTTGGTTGCTTCCTTACAGTGTTAATTCTACCTTCCTTTATAAGACTACCTGGGCTAATATGGGCATATCATGCAGCTAAAAGACATCTGCTACTTATATTTACTCCATTACAAAGGTAACTATGGCAAAGGAACGAAAGTATTACATTTAATTATACTTTAAATTGTATGGAAAGCAGAGACCAAATGATAAGAAAGCCTTCCAGAAGTGCATAAACAGACAGCAGGATACAACCAATGCAACACCAGAGCAAAAAAAAATTAAAACACTGAAAGTAAAATCCGCTGTCATTTTTTTACTTTCCTTCATTTTCTCTGTTCTTTAATGTATTCTCTCCCTGAAAACTCTTCCTGAGTTTTCACCTATTTGGCACATACTTAGCAAGAAAATGAGTATTATATGCTGTATCTCATGCAGTGCAAATGACAACATATTTCAATTCTACATGTTACCTTTGCAGTGGTTTTCATCCCAGGGATACACACAGTTCTGGAGTCCATTGCAGACCAATGTATTATTTATACACATATTACTGTGGCAAAAGAATGTGTTGGCTTCACAAGGGGCTAAAAATGAGAGAAATTATAAATTATATTAAATTAGCAAATCATTCAGCTCTCCTCTACAAACACATCTAGGAGTGGACATGTATTCTATAACAGGACAAAGCTATGCAACGTGTGTTTCTTGTGTATATTAAATATTTGACATGCAGCATGGCGAGCACTCAAGTCACAGACTGTTTATTATTCTGTGGCAAGACGTTCTGAGTTTCATCTAAAATGACTGAACCTTCCCCTAGTATGACTCTCCTGGATGTAGTGGGTTGGATTCCAAACACTGTTGGGAATTACCAATGTGCTATCAACAGTTTAACCACAGATCCAAAACATATCACTTTATAGGCTGCTACAAAAATAATTAACTGTATCCTGGATTGATACAATGAATGACAGATAACGTTTTTTAAAGTTTTTGCTGAAACCTCAATTTTATAAGAAAATTTGCGTGACTCAAAGAAGATGTGTACTTGATGGTACATATCAACGGTGTCTGACCATTTATACACAGAGAAAGTAAAATTATTCTAAAATTCTTTTAGTCATAAAAAGGGCTACATAAAAAAAACATCCTTTTGATCATGAGTATGAAGTTAAAGAAGCACAATAGTCTTCAGTGTTCCTGAAGCTCATAACCTAGAAGAATCATGCAGATTAAAGCTGCAGGAAAATGTTTTTACTGATGGCCATGTACTATTACTGTGAAGAAACTGCATGAAAGCTTTTGGAAGGTACTGAAGATGCTGCTAAGCTGTGGTGTTTACAGAAGTATTGGGAGATCATTATGTGTTGGGGTTGTGAAGCTATTGATCCAAATGTGCATTATATAGTTGAGATAAATTACTCCTCATATCTCTTCTTTAAACAAAAAAGACTTCCATAACTTAGAAGAGCTACAAACTTTGTCAGTGTTAAATTGTCAAAAATGAACTTCTTATGTATAATTAGCTCAAGCAACCCAAAAGTGTTAATATATTTATTTTTAAGGGAGAAATAAATAATAAACTGAGACCCCTAGCTAATCAGAAAGCAGTTATGATGCTCATATTACTGTTACTTCGAGTTTGATTCTTCATGGAAATTGTTCTCCTCTGCAATTTTAGAAGCAGTTCCTATGACAACATAAATGTATAGCAGAAAGAATGGTTTAGTGGTTTGCAAATGAAGGACAAGACAAAGGATTTGTATTGTAGAACTTAATGACTCAATAGATCATGTCAGTAAATCTGCTTACCAATAAGTGTTTAAGTTAAGCTATCCATAACTGGCTTATTTGGAGCAGTTATGGTGTGTTAAGCAAAGAGTAAATGCCATCAAAATCAAAAAGCACACCCCAAATATGCAACCACTCATTCAGATATAAAGCTGTACATATACTGTATCTCTTAGCCAGAAGATATCAACCAGCCTGTCGACTGTTCAATTTTTGTTTTTAAATCTGGTATACCATCTCCTGAGGTGCAGGGAGCCTGGTCACATTTTAAGTTTGTTACAGAAAGGATTCTACTTTATGCTGGACAGACCAGAAGAGCACATGTGTCTATTAGAAAGGGAGAATGTTTCAGGACAGTCCTTATCTATCTGTTGCTGTCATTTGGGGACAATGAAGGCTGAGCCTGGAGGATGCTGTGCTGCATCATGATGTGACACATAACGTAGATAACACATCAGAGACATAATCATCCTTTCACACTCTAGCTGCAATCCCTGTTTCCAGGCAAGGTGAGGATCTTTTGGGATGTTTCCCACATGCAGAAACAGTTTCACTGCCTACTCTGAGCAAAAAGAAGTGAGAAACCTAAGATCTAAAGAGGCACCCATTCAAAATACAAAGTGTACCCAAAAAAAAAGACCCAAATATCAAACAGAGAAACTTCAAGGAGTGACACAGGAACAACAGGTAAATATTAAAACAAAAGCAAACAAACATTTGCAGGATTACAATAGGTTATATGATTAAAGCCACAAAGAAAAAGCAAGCAAACAAACAAACAAAACAAAACAAAAAAAAACCCTGTTCAAAACACCAAAAAACATTCAGAGTGGCATGATGGATCTTAGAAATTAAGTCAGAAGAACAGAGTGCTGTCTGAATTCAGAAGTATAGCAGCTATACGTGGAAAAGGAGAACTAAAGGAAGGGAGCAAGGAAGTGAAGTCTACAGGAAAAAACAAAGTCAATTGGTTATTTTGTTCTGCACTAAAAGAAATAGCGAGATTTTCTATAAAATAAAAAAAAAA